ACCTAGCTTTAAGGCATTGGGAACACGGCCTCTCCTTTTTGGTACAGCAACTTCTGTGGAAGGGGTCTTGATAGCTTTGAGTCTTGCTGGGGTTGGCGCTCTGGCACTTCGCTTGGGGTTGGCTAGCGCAGTGGTTTTGGTGGCGGTACTGGCCTTTGACTTAGTCTTAGTCTTGGACCTGGTCTTGGTCTTGGTCTTGGTCTTGATCTTGGCAGTGTGTGTGTTTTTAATTGCTACCCTACCTTTACGTGTCTTGCGTGTTTTGCGTGTCACCAGAACATGATCTGCATCCCGATCTTTGTCATCACCTCCTAACTGCTCTTGGTCTCTCCCGTCTTTCTCCTTTTCTGACGGAAAAGCATCTGCTTCCTCTTGAAGCCTTCTCTGTTCAGCAATTGGGATAACTTTCTTCAAATCTTTGCCATTGAAGCTTAATTCCACGGGGTCCACCGATGTACCCGATCCCCTTGTTGAAACCATTCTTGTGTGTGCTTAACCCTGTGTTGTGTTGTGTGTGTGTGTGTGTGTGTGTATTTCTCACTTGCCCAAGGCTACAAAGTGTGGTGACGAGAAGTAGGGGCGTGTGTAATAATGTTTTTGGTATACGAAGTAGCACTTGTTGTGTCTGTATGATTTAGCAAGAGTCTTTAAGTTGGTGATTGGGCTTATGCAACTGGATATTGAAAAAAAAAAAAATAAAAACAGATGTCATAAAGAAAAAAGAAGCTTGGGAGTTGTTTGTTGTTGTTGTTGTTGTTGTTGTTGTGTATTTTTTTTTTTGTTCCTAATCAAAACCTTTTTTATTTTTTTATTTTTATTTTTATTTTTATTTTAATTTTTATTTTTTTGTGTATATTAAAGGAGTGCATATAAATGACGCACTCTTTTCTGAAGATTGAGGAGTTTTCTTTTGGTTTTTTATCAAACTAAACAGATGAATCATACAACAATAGAGCCACTCGTGTTTTTTGATTGCTCTTGTAAAGAGATGTTTAGGTAGAATTTGAGTTTCGAAAAGCATTAATCACTCGACACAACTACCAATACTCTTTCAATGACACCTTATTGCAAATAGTAGTTTTCTCGACCTTTCAAAGTTGAGAATTTATTTTATGGTGACTTTTCTCAGCTGCATGCTAAGAGGTTGAGCATCTTCTTCCAATGTATATTTGAGCTCTGCTTACACTTCCTTAATCACTTTTCCCTCTTTTTCTTGAACCAACTAGAATGCACAAAACAGACGCAGAGAGTAATGTTACAGCACAAGGGACCAAACTCACAAAATTCCACCCCTAGACACCCCTTGCGTCAACAAAAAAGAGCCATTGATACACAAGTCTCTCATCTGCTTTGGAGTTACAGCTCAAGTGATTGTAACAGTAAGTTCCTAAGAGGAGCTCAATATCGTTACTGACTTCGTTATCGTTGTCAAGTAAACTTACGAAGTAATAGAAGAACGAGGGGGGGTTGTGGAATTGTCGTGCACTGACTAAAACACCCTCGTTTTTTAGTTATTTCTTTTTTGTTTTTCTTCTTTTTTTTTTTTTTTTGTTTTATTTTTTATTTTCTTTTTGATGGAGGCTTTGTGTATCATTTCTTTGACGGAATTTAGAAGGTCAACATTTCACTCCCGTTGGCAGATCTTGCAGAGAGAGGAGGACAATGTGTGTTTGAATTTGCCATATA